AATAACTACTTATAAAAAAACTTTAACAACTTTAACACTAATTATAAAAAAATACAAAAGATGCTAGATTCAATTAAATAACATTATGGGTCTTGATTTCGCCAAAATTATGATTCATTGTCAATCCTCAGCCGTCTTTGACGACGTTTTTTTTTTCTCAATTGTATGTTATAAGGGCTCTTTTTATGTTTAAATATCTCCTAATATTACACATTCACACAAAATCTAAAGTGATATTTAACCCTCATAGTTATGAAAGATCTTTTATTATTCTCAATTATTTTATTGTATAAATTATATTGCCTGAATTAAATATCTTTTCCAAAAACCTAATTATCTCTACTAATATACTTTACACCAACCCGTACAAATATACAGGGTGAGAGATACGAATATAGTTTATAAGTACCTTTTATGTTGTTGAGCTGATTCCACAAAATCTTCTCTATCTCGTGTTTCCAAGTATCCTTAATTTTTGGTAGTCTGGCGTCCAGTACATAAGTGTATTTCAACCTCAGGGTTTTCTTCTCTTTAGCGAAATCCGTTAGATGAATGGTATTGTTGTTAAAAGTCGCAATTCTAAGGTCGTTGGTGTATATACATTTGTAAAACATGAATTGTTCCTTGTCGTTCTAAAATGTGAACGTTTATAAAGTTAGATGATAGTTCATACAAGTCAAATTTAGGTAAATTAGAAAACTTATAAAGTTTATAATAATATAATAGCTCCCGTATATAGCATGTAACGCCTTGGGAGTAGCAAGGTACAGCTTGCCATACTAGAGCCGTTCGGTATACAAGGAAGGTAATGTGGCTAGCACTACGCTTCAATCGCCTATTATTACCTCAGGATTGTGAATTCCAAGTACTCATTTAAAGCTGAGTCGACCTAGGTACCCAAACTATTTTTATTTTAATAAAAATAGTCGACCGATGAAATACCGGGTGTAGGATTCGAACCCACTACCTTGAGATTGGTGGACGAGGGTCTGTACCTCTACGCCACCGGGCACCTATTTTAGGTGCCCAGGTTGATAAAGTTTATAAAGCTAAGTTACACAACTATGCGTAAGAAACCTTAGGGCACAAACCTAGTGGAGCATCTCGATCTCGATCTCGATCTCGATGCGCTGCTCGCCAGGATGCTATAGCCACGATGCATCCAACGCGCACTGTTTTAAAACGGCGAATAGCTGCGTAGACATATGACATACTGAAGCATTTAGCATCGCCGTTTTATCAAGCACCAGTTTACACAGGGTGTCCCATAAATAAGTGCAAGTATTTTAACTGGTAGTATGTTTCGGCCTCAGAAACACGCCTATAAGGTTTTTTTGCAAAAAAAATAAAATTTGGATTTTTTGAAAAAAAAATTGGAATTTTTTTTAGTTTTAAGTTAAAAAAAACATAATTTCTTGATAATATGGCAACATAGGTAGTAGATTAAATTTACGTGAAAGAAAATCAAGAAAAGATCCAGTGGTTACCAAATTTAAGCAAAAAAAGCATTTTTGTTTAAATTTTCAAGTACAATAACTCGGTTATTTTGGACTTACTTGAAAAACGGTAAAGAGAAAAAATGTTTATTTTGACCAGATCTACTTACGATTTAGAAACTTTAGAAACTTTAGAAACTTTAGAAACTTTAGAAACTTTAGAAACTTTAGAAACTTTAGAAACTTTAGAAACTTTAGAAACTTTAGAAACTTTAGAAACTTTAGAAACTTTAGAAACTTTAGAGCTTTAGAAACTTTAGAAACTTTAGAAACTTTAGAAACTTTAGAAACTTTAGAAACTTCAGAAACTTTAGAAACTTTAGAAACTTTAGAAACTTTAGAAACTTTAGAAACTTTAGAAAATATTTAAGAAAATTGTTGAAATAAGAATTAACTTTTAATTAACATGCCTTCTTCTTCAAAACTATCACCAGAAGTTATAGAATACAAGTGATTGGGTAGAATCGTCACCGCTTTAGAAACTTTAGAAACTTTAGAAACTTTAGAAACTTTAGAAACTTTAGAAACTTTAGAAACTTTAGAAACTTTAGAAACTTTAGAAACTTTAGAAACTTTAGAAACTTTAGAAACTTTAGAAACTTTAGAAACTTTAGAAACTTCTCCATATTCATCGGTTATTGTTTCACGCCGTTTGCTGGTGCGGCGTTCGTCAATGATAGGAACTAAAAATGAAAATATTTAAGAAAAATTGTTGAAATAAGAACTAACTTTTAATTAACATACCTTCTTCTTCAAAACTATCACCAGAAGTTATAGAATACAGAGTATTCCGTTTCGAATCGTCACCGTTACTAAAATAATTTTCAGTTGACATTAATTTTTGCCAGTCGTCACTTAAAAATAGGTGTTGTTCATTAAATTCTACTAGTGGCGATGCAATTTCTGAACTCATCATCAAACTATTTAATCGATTCAAGTCTATGCTATGTCGATCAAGTTGGTAAGTGCATATTACTAGTTCCATCCCATCTTGATTGTAGGCTTCTACAAAATCTACTCCGTCTTCGATATTTTCGTTGAAACACATTTTTCCGAAGAAGTCGTCAACATCTTGTAGAGTTAAAGGGTCTACGTCTAGAATTATCAATGTTCTCTTTAGAAACTTTAGAAACTTTAGAAACTTTAGAAACTTTAGAAACTTTAGAAACTTTAGAAACTTTAGAAACTTTAGAAACTTTAGAAACTTTAGAAACTTTAGAAACTTTACAATAACTCGGTTATTTTGGACTTACTTGAAAAACGGTAAAGAGAAAAAATGTTTATTTTGACCAGATCTACCACCCCTTAAAATACTTGCACTTATTTCTGGGACACCCTGTATAGTAGTAGTTATTAATTAGTATAGGCTTGTTGCATTTCAGTTGATTTCAACAAATTCCGACCGCAGCGCTTCAACGGCAAAAATCAACGACAAAAATCTATTTCATGCCGCCGTCATGTTGATCGCATTAAAATAATATTGAAATTGTGGTTTTGTCATAATATGTAAGTATTTTAGTTTTTTGCTAGTGCCCAGAGACTAAAAAACACTTAGTACGAGGTTTGTGTGATGTAACGCTGTTTCGGGTAGTAAAAAATAATTGAAATAGAATTGGAACTAGGCGGCGCCGGCGTGTTGTGTTGTGACAATTTCAAATGTTAATAAAATTGCCGAAAAAATGTTAACACCTAAAGGAGAGCGTAATTAAGTCGTTGTTGGGTGCAATAACATTCAATAATTCAACTTTCCCGGATATTCAACTCTCCCGAAACAACATTTTATAGCTTCATAGCTTTTCACATCGATTTGATCAAAAGCAAAAATGTATTCAAGCAGCTCGACGAAACAAGTTTTTTTTAATCATCTAGTGATTAAAGTACTTGCTATAAATTTAAATAAAGTTCTTAAACAAATTTCGATTTTGAAAATAGCCAACTAGATATACTACTGTCAACTATAACTGTCACTAGAAACTTGCCACACATAGCATCTCACGTTTGTACGATAGTCGCGATGCATCCTACGCTAATTTACTCGCCGGTTTAAAACAGTGCGCGTAGGATGCATCGCGGCTAGCATCCCTGGCGAGCAGCGCGGCCAGCATCTTGGCGAGCATCGCATCGAGATGCCCCACTATGTTTGTACTTTGCACCCTTAAATTATTTACCTGTACTTCCACGGTTATAACCACAACTAGTTCAAACAAAAACACTACAACGTCCAGTCTTCTTGGTTTCATCAAAGCGAATTTTTCTCTCATAATAAAAGAACCATAGTTTTTAATAGTACTGTTCATGATGGATCCTACTGCCACAGCATCGTTGCCTTTGCGCATGTATTTTTTAATTATATCCAAAGCCATTTCCACAGATCCTACAGTCTCATTATTTTTCTTTAGTTCCTTAATAATGTTTTCTAGTAATAGTTTGTACTTTCCTAATCTTTGTACCGGTGTGAGGATATATGCAGCAAGCCCCAACTTATTTTGTAATTCTTCCTGTCTTTTCTATAAAAAAATAACAATTATTTCATATTCAAGAATTTACTAGTTTTATGATTATTCTAATAAAAAAACTTACTTTAAGGTCCTCATGAATACGTTTAACAGCAGCGTTACTTCTTGGAGTGCCTTTGAAATATCTTGGATACAAATCAAACAAAGTTTCCTAAAATTAAAGTCATTGGAAACAGTTATAACAATGGTAACTCTATGATATTACATAATCAATAAAGACACGGGCAATAAGGTTCTGATCTAGTCGACAGTTTGCTAGAGCATGACAAAATTGGTTTTGTCTGTCGTAGATGTGTTGCAGGTTGCCAAATATAGTTCTGCACAAATCCGGGTGGCTTTTTGAAGGGAACAGGTTTGTAGTCCTAAAAAAGAAATACAAAAGAAATAACAATAATCTTAATGTTGTATAAAACCTAGTTTTTATTAAACATTATTTTTTCTGTTTTCTACTTACACGAATAACTCTTCCCAAGTCTCTAACATACTTTTTTTCTGTCAGGACAAGTTCTTCTAATATATACATAATCCTACAAAACAGTTACGTTACTAATAGAATATAAAGTAAATGTCAATATTTATAATCAACAATTATAATATAACTTACGGAGATTTTTTAGTCAAAGCTGCTCCAATAGTTACTTCGTGCTCCAGTTGTTCACAGTTAAATTCAATCTCTTCAAACTCCTCATTATACTCAGACTTACTATCTACATTTTCATTATCTGGAGGATCATCGTTAGTGTCGTTCTCCTTAATATCATCGTTAACATATTTGATTCTTTCTATTCTAACTTCTCCATATCCATCGGTTATTGTTTCACGCCGTTTGCTGGTGCGGCGTTCGTCAATGATAGGAACTAAAAATGAAAATGTTTAAGAAAAATTGTTGAAATAAGTACTAACTTTTAATTAACATACCTTCTTCTTCAAAACTATCACCAGAAGTTGTAGAATACAGAGTATTCCTTTTCGAATCTTCACCGTTACTAAAATAATTTTCAGATGACATTAATTTTTGCCAGTCGTCACTTAAAAATAGGTGTTGTTCATTAAATTCTACTAATGGCGATGCAATTTCTGAACTCATCATCAAACTATTTAATCGATTCAAGTCTATGCTATGTCGATCAAGTTGGTAAGTGCATATTACTAGTTCCATCCCATCTTGATTGTAGGCTTCTACAAAATCCACTCCGTCTTCGATATTTTCGTTGAAACACATTTTTTCCGAAGAAGTCGTCAACATCTTGTAGAGTTAAAGGGTCTACGTCTAGAATTATCAATGTTCTGTATAGAAACTTTGAAGCTTCAGAAACTTCAGAAACTTCAGAAACTTCAGAAACTTCAGAAACTTCAGAAACTTCAGGAAGACTTCAGAGCTGGAGGCTTTAAAGATTTTAGGAAGCTTTAGAAAGCTTTAGAGCTTTTAGAAAGAGGCTTTAAAGGCTTTAAGGGTTTTGGGAGCTTTAGGGCTTTGGGGCTTTAAAACTTTTGAGGAGTTTTAGGGGCTTTAAGGGACTTTAGAGCTTTGGAGGCTTTGGAAACTTTGGAGCTTTGGGGCTTTGGGGCTTTGGGAGCTTTGGAGGCTTTGGAAACTTTGGGGCTTTGGGGGCTCTAGGGGGCTTTTGGGGGCTTTAGGAACTTTGGGGGCTTTGGGGCTTTAGAAACTTTGGGAAACTTTGGAGCTTTGGGGAGCTTTGGGAACTTTAGAAACTTGGAGGCTTTGGGAACTTTGGGCAAAGCTTTGGGGAGCTTTAGAAACTTTAGAAACTTTAGAAACTTTAGAAACTTTAGAAACTTTAGAAACTTTAGAAACTTTAGAAACTTTAGAAACTTTAGAAACTTTGGGGAAACTTTAGAAACTTTAGAGGCTTTAGAAACTTTAGAAACTTTAGAAACTTTAGAAACTTTAGAAACTTTAGAAACTCAGAAACTTTGGGAAACTTTAGAAACTTTAGAAACTTTTTGAAACTTTAGAAACTTTAGAAGCTTTAGAAACTTTAGAAACTTTAGAAGCTTATTATGATACCTTGTCTTTTTACCACATGCTCGTCAGGATCTACAGAAACTTTCAATTTCTCTTTATTCCCATCATCATCTAAATGAAGTTTCTTTATAGATAAATAAACGTCATCATCAAACCCATCCAGCAACATTTGTTCATTTTTCTTTTCCATTTCCTCGAAAAAGCTTTTGCGATAACTCTCAGTCTCACCATTTTTACTTGCATCCTCGAAATTTTCAAAAACATGCGCCAATTCTTTGACAGTATTTCGCTTCATAAGAATACCTGTTCTTCTGCGTGCCATCCTCCTGCGACTGCTAGTACCGTCTGAATTTTTAATAAAGCGATGCTTTTTTGCGGTAAGTGTACTGGTTGACGAATCTTCAGAAATACTGGCACTATCTTCTTCTTGTTCATCTTGTTCGGGTTCAGTCTCTTTGAAGATAGTATCAAATCGTTCTATAGTAAAACTTTCTTTTGAAATTTGAGGTGACTTTTTGTAATATGTGTTGATAGAACGATGTTTTTTCTCCATAAGTGTACCGGTTGATGAATCTTCAGAAATACTGGCACTGTCTTCTTCTATTTCATCTTGTTTAGGTTCAGTCTCTTTGAAGATAGTATCAAATCGTTCTATAGTAAGACTTTCTTCTGAAATTTGAGGTGGCCTTTTATGATGTGTGTTGATAGAACGATGTTTTTTCTCCATAAGTGTACCGGTTGATGAATCTTCAGAAATACTGGCACTGTCTTCTTCTGTCTCATCTTGTTTAGGTTCAGTCTCTTTGAAGATAGTATCAAATCGTTTTATAGTAAGACTTTTTTCTGAAATTTGAGGGGATACCTCGTCGTCCAGGTTATCGTTCGTGTTTTTATGGATAAAGCTTTTTCATCAACCAAAATGGTACGGTATATTGTCCTAATTCACTATCGCTGTCGTCGAAAGTATTAAAATTATCACAGTCTTTACTATCTAGAAAATAAAATAGAGGAATAAATAAATTTAATTCTGAAATCTTACGCTTATGTTTTGTTACATTTATAACTGACCGTTATCAAGAAGTATTGACTAATCCAAATCAATACCTGTGATGCCAAGATTGGTACATTTGATAAAGTTGACATTTTGTAGAAATCTGTATACTTGATTGTTATAATAATATAATAACGGATTTTTTTAAATTAAGCATTTTTTTAATGAAGTTTTTGTAGATAACCTGAGCTTTTAACCACTGTATGTCTTGCTGCTTGGACTACACATGGTCAGCAATGCCTGACTTCATTGTTTCGCCTCTTTGCTTGTGTTTTTGCATTTAGATCAGTTCACAATTGATAACGGTGTGATAACATAACAAGGTTGTAAAAAATTCAAAACTAAAGACAATATTAGCCCCAAAAAGATATTTAGTTTTATAATTCACTTTCAAACAATGTACCTATTAATGTCTTTATTATATTTATTGTACTATTAAATTGGTTTTTGCCGGTATGAAATCAAATTATGAACTAATTGAATATTTAAGGTAATTTAAAAGAACAAACAACAAATATGAATAAGATATTGTTAGTATTATTAGTACAATAATGCCAATTTTGAGTCCATAAATAACTATTACGCCAATATTTTTCAGTGTGTACGAAAATAATCTTATCAGTTTCGGATTATGGCTCCTTTTTTCTTATAGTTTTATCATTTTTCTCATAATTTTTAAGAAATATCCAAAATAGTAAAATATTCAATCAAGAATCATTAAAATTCTGTATAATAAAGAATAGATAGCCCTAGCCAATTTTTAACTGTAATATAAGTTTAATATTTAAACATTTTGTTACAAATCTGTGTTATCTAATTTGACAATTATTATTGAGATAACTACACCCAATTATAACCTTGATAACAAGTAGTAATAACTTAATTTTTTTAGAGTTTTATTTAACCAAAGCCGAACTCACCACTGTTTACGGAGGAATATTCCCCATAATCTTGTTTAAAGGAACTATATTCAAAAGCACAGTCTTCACCATTAGATATATTCATAATTTTAAACCACCAAAGTCTACTGTCGATTCTGTCAAGTCCAGCTTGAAAAAATCATCTTTATCGTTGGTAGGTGTTTCACAAAAAATATATTCAACACTATCGTCCTCTACATCCTCTGTCAAATTTTTAAAACTGTTGATGTTAAGTTTATAATCATCGTTACATGTTTTTTCTTCCATAACGTGGTGCAACTGCTCACCAACTGAACGACTTCTTTTTATATCTTCCAGCACATCCAGATCTTCAGAGCGCGTGCTTCCTTTTCTAACTTTATGCTTGTGACGTGAATTTTTTACTGGAATACTCAGGCAATTCAAGCGATCTTACCGATGCTGCATCGGATTGTACCGAATTTGTTCTGTGCACGCTTCTGTGCTTTTTGGTCGTTTGATTTCAAACAGATTGGAAACTTTGTTACTTTGTGCGATTTAGAAGTTTTAGGTTTAGAATCTGCGAAGATACTGTTATCTCTGTTCATTATATTAATTTTTATGGAATTTTAAACACAATACACTATATTAAGCGTTAGTATTTGCAATAACATAAAGTATTTTTTATCTTTATCCTACTGTCTTATCTTATCTAGAAATATTAATTAACGGTGGGTTGATAAAATGGGATTTGTTTGACGAACAATTCGGTAACGTTACCGCATACCGTGGATTACGCGTGTTGAATGTCAATTATTTCTAAAGAATCAAAAGAAATCATGCATTTTATAATGACAAAATATACAGGGTGTCCCAATTGTAACAGATTATTTCCTTTATACTGTTATTTATACTATTAACAGATTATTTCCTATGTCCTTTACCTTTAAATCGATGTTTTCGGTTGTTAGTTTCGGGAGAGGGTCTTTTTAGCAGAAAGTAATAAAACAAACATCTTTCAAACGTGAATATTTTTAAATTCCCAAACTTATGGAAGGACAAAGCAAATAAACTGAAGAACTTAGAATTAAACAGAAAAATTGTAAAGATAGACCTTATAGGCCAGTGCAAATAATTTTGAATTTGCAAAAATTTTTAGAAAGCTGCGACCATTGAAAATAGTTAGCCTTGATAACCCTTATTAACATACTAAAAGTCCCCATTTGTCCGATGTGTGCGTCATAAAAAAAACGGCCGCCATCTTGAATTTTGGTACTTTTTGGGAAAAAATGTAAATAACTCGAAAACGGTCCATTATAGCGAAAAACTTCGAGAGGTGAAAATTAAAGAGAATAAAAAACTCTATCAGAATCAATAAAGAATAGTTTATTTTCCTAACGCAGTGACGTACAAAATTTTTTTGAAAACCGAGCAATTTTTAAAAGGGATCACCGAAATGCAAATTACTATTTTTTAGGCTTATTCACAAATAACATGGATATTTAGCATCAATTCAGTTCTTGTGACATTTTCAAGAAATATTTATTGGTGGTTTAATAATATTTCAAAATTAACAAAAATTGTCAAAGCTATCCTTTACTAAATACATGTGTACTAATAATGTGCGAAAGCAGCCTCCACCTTGTTCCGGTCGGGGCTATTTGCACTTGAACCAAGGTCTTTTTGTTACCATTTTGTAAACAACTTGTTTTTAAAAATACAGTGACAGTTTGAAAAATTCGGCTATAGGTTGGAAGAAAAAAATAAAATGTAATAAACTACTTGCAGATGTCTTTTTTGACATAAATATCATCTACGATCTTAACCTAAGGTCTTAACACTTTTTCATTATGATAAATACATTATAAACATACCCCTATAAATCGAATAACAATAATTCAAATTATGACCATTTTAATAAAAATGTGTTCCCAACTTGTAACCTAACTTTTCAAACTGTCATCTCTAGAAAAAATGAAATTTAATTTTACAATTTTATTCGATTTGTTCTTCATCGACCGATATTTGTTTGTTCTCATAAAAAATACCATTACAGTTACTACACAACATGAACATGGCATATTGGATTTTAAACATGTACCATTGCGATTAAAAAAAATAGTACAACAAAATATGATTTAATCTGCTGGTCTATATTCTTGTATCAGTGTCACCTAATTTTTAAAAATGCCTTTAACTTCAGAGCAAAAATCGATTATAATTACGCGATTAAGGGATGGGGTTCCCATAAGGGACATTGCATATGCATTAGGGATAAACAAAAAAAAACAGTGTTGTTGGCTAAATCCAAAAAAAAATTCAATATAATTCAAATATCCTTATAGACCAGGAGTTCCATCTGGGACTACTAATTCTTGTACTACTTTTTTTGATCGCAATGGTACATAGTTTATTACATCCAGATTTGCAATTACAGTAAATCATTTTAAATACAAATTCTGGTGCCACTGCGTTTGACATTGCTGTTAAAGGTATCCGTTTTTTTACTCCATCCACATTATGTTGCCTCTTCTCCGTTATTTAGCCAATACTGCATTTATAAATAGGTCCTATAATAATGATTTTCAGCTGCGTTAGTTGTTGGAGGTAAGGTAGATAATAAAATACCTCAACTGATCTAAATCTTTTTGCTAGCCTATGTCGACCATATAATGAAAATAAGCATGTATTTCCAGCTTCAACTAGCTCAGACTTTTGTGCTGCAGGATCTAAAAAAAACGGATGTAATTTGTCGCAGATGAGGATCTTTTTGCAACGTTTTGAAAGTCGCTAGTTTACATTACATTTTATTTTTTTCTTCCAACCTGTAGCCTAATTTTTCAAACTGTCACTGTATTTTTAAAAACAAGTTGTTTACAAAATGGTAACAATAAGACCTTGGTTTAATTGCAAATAGCCCCGGCCGGTACAAGGTGGAGGCTGCTTTCGCACATTATTAGTACAAATGTATTTAGTAAAGGATAGCTTTGACAATTTTTGTTAATTTTGAAATATTATTAAACCACCAATAAATATTTCTTGGAAATGTCACAAGAACTGTATTTTAGTTGAATTGATGCTAAATATCCATGTTATTTGTGAATATGCTTAAAAAATTAGTAATTTGCATTTCGGTGATTCCTTTTAAAAATTGCTCGATTTTCAAAATTTTTTGTACGTCATTGCTTTAGGTTAATAAACTATTTTTTATTGATTCTAATAGAGTTTTTTATTTTCTTTAATTTTTACCTCTTGAAGTTTTTCTTTTTCGCTATAACAAACTGTTTTCGAGTTATTTACATTTTTTCCCAAACACACTTATCAACACATAGACACACAACATCTCATGCAAATCGTAATAACTGTTACAAATAGAAGTCATATTGACATCAAAATCAAATTTGTCGTGCCAAAAAACTCTGAGCCCCCAATTTTTAACCAAATATTGACGTTACTTTAGAAGTTATTTGGAAAAAATTGATATAAAAATGAAATTTCTACACCCTGTATCACCGAAACTAAGCATTTTAGGACGTACATTTATACGAACTTTTTTACTTAATTTTATCAACCGAAGTTTCCGGAATACAGTTCGGACCACCCTGTATATCATCATTCAATAAGTGCAATAATTATTATCATTTGCACTATCTTAATTATATAAATCAAAAATAATGTTCCTGGTATACATAATTTTTTCTATATTTAATCTAGCCCTTTTATAGATTATTTGATTAGCTTTAAGTGTATTTTGCTAGTTAAAATTTTCCTTTTTACACGATTGTATCTAAAATATTACAAAACTAGTCAAACATGTTACTATGTTAAGAATGAGTAATAATTTGATAATAACATTTAGTATCGTGTTAACTGTGTTACAAGAATGTAAAAAATAAATATTTATATTTTTTTTTCCAACACAGTACAGTAAATAGTGATTGGTAAATAGAGATGGGTGAACATTTAGAAAATAGACATGTCTCTGACTTGACCAATTTTTTCGAAAATTTGCAGAGAACAAATCATTCAGGTGAGTATTTTTTTTAGTTAAGTTCGTAAACTTTAAAAATATTATTTCAAGTATCTACCATGCCTCTAACATCAGAAAGTACGGACTCTATCAGTACAATGAAAACTGTAAAAGAAATGGCAAAACATTTTGAAAATAGTACCTCGGGAAATGTATTGAACTTTTCAAATGTCCAAAAACTGCAAAATATTCAAACAATAAGAGGGAAATCGCAATATAAAGCATCAAAAAGTAAAGAACTCAAAGCAGGAGGTAAAATTTCATATAGTTTATATGTTTTTTTTAATAAATCACTAAGAAATAAATGAAAAATACCAATACCATGTATTTCTTCTTTTAAATTTAAGATCAAGTTGAAGTAAAATCTTGTAAATTCAACAACAAAATTTCAGAATACGTATGTGATAAAAATATATCTGCAACTTCGTCAATAAGAAATCTAGCAAATAATACAGAACGTAGCAAAACTATTACAACAAGTGAAGATTTACAAAAGAAAAGCAAACAATTTATGTCTAGTAGTATAAAAATTAGCGAAAAAATCAATAAAGAAGACGGATTATTTCGTAGTAGTGAACCAATTCAAAAAGTAAGTCCTAAAAATACAAAAGGAGATGAGCTTGAAGAAATTCGTAAAAATCTGTTATCCTATATGGATAAAATCAACGAAATGATGCAAAATGATGGGTATAATATTGATAGTGGCAATAATGAGATTGAAATATGTGTCAAAGGTAAGATTTTATACAATACAGAAGTATTTAGAAAAATAAAGTTAAGAATAAGTAAAGAATGAGTCAATAAAACAAAATTAACTAGCTCATTACAATAACTGCGAAAAAACTTTTTGCTTTTACTAGGTACATATTTTTTTTTCAATTTAAGATAAACCAGAAATTATCGACAAGCAAGACATAGGAGTTCTCGAAGAAGCTTGTAACTTTAGCATATTTGAAAATAAAAATGCACTGATAGAAAACTATACAGAAGAAGAAAAACAAATTTTAGGTAATGATTTGTTGAAAGCCACTGCAGTCACGAGTACAGGTGATATTGACAATATTGACAGAACCAGTAGCGAAAGTGGTATTTTTGATGAAGGTACTGATTTTACAATAAGCAATAAATTTTTAGAGAAATAATACTTAAATTTCCAGTACTTAAGTTTATTTATTACATTCACTATGTAACGTTTTTAGTTCGTTACATGTCTTTTTTATATATAATATATGATGTCTGGCCTATCATCACCGGATTCCCTCTCGTTCAGGCCGGATAGTTTATTTGACGCGTAATTTTTACGTTCCCTAGTCGCCAACCCTGTTATCGTTCGACACAACCCTGTTATCGCTCTGAGGAGGCGCTGTCAACATCGCTTCTGTCAACTCTCTCAGTGCTTAACCTCACTTTGTTTTGACGCTCTGTTGTATCCCAGCTTTTGGAAATGGTGATTATTTAAGTCTTGCTGTATAATTTGAATCAGCTGCTATTTCGAGGCTACAGGTAAAGATGAGTTATTACCTTTTATAGATTCGATATTATTATTGAATCTTTTTAGGGTAGAGTTACGGATGTCCCAACTTGTATTTGTGTTTTGCTGGCACGTTGGCGTCCCTTTTCTTTTGTCCTCCAGAATGTCACATGGAAGAAAGGACAGGTTGTTTATTATTTATTGAGCCCTCGGAAGTTTTTGAGGTAGGTTTATTTTGTTTATTAGACCTTGTTTGGTTTTAAACAAGAGTTTCATATTTTTAGGGTCCAAGGTACGGACTGTGTCCAAGGTACGGACTGTGTCCAAGGTACGTGTAGTGTCTTATGTACGGACATTATCTTATGTACGGATGTCCTGTGGACGAGTGTCCCCAGTAAGAACGATTTTTTCTTACATATAAGTGCCACAGCGTGGATGTGGCTTGAGTCCCATGCTGCTTCGTTTCCAGCTGTAAGCTAGTTAGTTACGGCTGTACCAATTCATGGTGCCCGCATTCTGGCCCCTTTGGTTGTGTTGGATGGCTGAGTACAGAGATCCGAGACCACCTCACGCTGTTACTGTTTAAAGCAGGATTGCATAAAGAACAGCTAAGTGTAAATTTAAGTTATAGTTTTGCATTTAACATTCAAAACATTTACAGTCTTAAACAATAACGTACATCTTAAATAATATCGTATAGACTATGTTGAGTGGTTAGATTGTTAAGAACATTCATGTCGATTTAGTAGTTAAAAAATAATTTAGATCTTATAAGGTTTCATTGCATTATGTCTTGTAATAGTATTACTTTTTTATAGATATTATTATTGCACTAAAATCATATAAAATATATCAAATTAATTAAAGTAATGCTACATTTCATATATTCTCTTAAACTTTACATGTTTTGTATTTTATCATAGTTGTTTTCATAGATATTTAGTACAACTCTTACCACCACTTTCTTTGACATATAACCACTACATATTCACTAGAACTCTACAATGTCATGTATCAGCAACGAACATCATGAATAATATAGTCATTAGTTTTAAGTAATAAACTACTGTGTTTTCTTTCTCTGTACATGCCTGGCGCCCAATATCTGTATTTTTTTGTTTATTGTTATTGATTAGTTTTCTCTCTAGTGAAATACCTTACCCACGACGGCTCTCTGATGAAAAGCTGCCGTTCGCAGTGGTAGTTCTAAAAAAACGCTACAACTATGTGAAAATGTTAAACTCTATAGTTTTAAGGAATATTAATAGTTACCTACAATTAAAATATATTTTTAAAAATACAGCAGACTTCAAAAAAGTTGTAGCTTAAACATTAAACTCTATTTTTTAGTAAATAATGGTAAAAATTAATGTTTAGTTTGAATTATATTATGATGATGGTAAAAAATATTGTGAGCAAAATATGCATCTAAAAATATGTTTCGTATATTTCTCGTTAGGTTTTAAATTTTCTGTACTAGGTATTTTCTCAATTTTTAGCATCAAATAGTTCTGATAATATTTATGAAGAAGTATTCATTGATTCCAATGATCACTTGTATCTGAATTGCAATTTTTATGGCTTGTATCCAAAGTACCATATTAACGAAAGCACGCTATATAAGAATCATGTCTTAAGTAACTATCAACTAACAGATACAAAAAACAAGTAAGTAATATATTCTTAGTTTTTTATTTTACACTTTATTTTATATTACTTATTTATTACTACACCTTCTATATTTTTTGTACTTTTGCATAAATATTTTATAAAATATGTAGAATAGCATTTATTTTCTGGTTTTTAGATTAAAATGTATTATTGAAGAAATGATACAATCTGAAAAGGAATATATTTTGGATTTATCAATAATTATTTTTGTAAGTTTTGGTAGAATATATTTTACTAATTTATTTCTTACTGAATTAATGTTCATAATAAAGTAAAAAAAAATATATTACAAATCGTACCAAAAACAAATATTATAATTAATAACAATTATGTAGATGTTGATTGTCTGGGAGGGGGAAAGTTAAACCACCAATTTGTTTAGGGACAGTAAAAAATTTGGGATATGTACTCTGAAAAAGTGGGCGTAGGGACAGAAGAAATATTTGGGTAGGGACATTAAAAAAAATTCTGTAGGGACAGTAAAAATTTAGGATAGGGACACTGAAAAAGCTGATGTAGAGACAGTCAAAATATTTGGCTAGGGACATAAAAAATTTGCGCAGGAACATTGAAAACATTTTCTGGAGGGACAGTGAAAAAATTTGTGTAGTCCCTAACTAAAATTTTTATTACTGTCCTTTTTCAGTGTCCCTATCTCAGATTTTTCCACTGTCCCTGTAAAAATTTTATCAATATCCTTAGAGAACTTTTTTCACTGCCCCTACCCAAATATTTTTACTGTCCCTACGCCAGTTTTTTCATTGTCTTTATCTCAGATATTTTTACTGTCCCTACCCAAGTTTTATCACTGGCCCTACCCAATTTTGTTTACTGTGCCTACACCAACTTTATCAATGTCCCCTAATACAAATAAACATTTGTGTGGTTTTAAAATGAGATAAAAATATACTAAATTCAGTAAGAAATACAATTTTCCATACCGGGTGCGTCTCAAAAGTGGCTCACTCCTATAACTTTTTTATTTTTTCAGATAAAACAACGAGATTTGGTATGTTAGTATATGACATAAATTAGGATTGATTGACATATTCAATTGTTTTTGGTCACTTCCGGTTTCACCGAAAATGACTACAACTTTTGATTTTTAAATAGTACCCGCGGTATTTTTTTACTTTAATCGATAGAAAATGACACTCTGAATCGAATGACATATTTTCGCATATGGTTTAACTGAAATTGTAACTTGCGGTTCATAACGACAATTTGACTCAAAATACCAATTGTGTAGTATCAAATTACTCGTAAAAAAATGCTTTTTCCAAAGATGCTAATGAGCCACCCTCGTTCCATTTGAAAAAATTGAGATATAATCATAAATACGATTTGAGCATTTTCTAACTAAAAGACACTAAAAACATTAGACGATCAAATCTAGTTTTCCAAGGCACCTTGATTAAAAATTAGTATTTTTAACACAGCTATGGCACTCTAGATTGAAATTTAAAATACAATTTGTTTTTGAGCGAATATGTCAAAAGTTGACATATGATATGTCATTCGATTCAGAGTGTCATTTTCTATCGAATAAAGTAAAAAAATACCGAGGGTGCCATTTAAAAATCAAAAGTTGTAGTCATTTCCGGTGAAACAGGAAGTGACCGAAAACAATTGAATACGTCAATCAATCCTAATTTATGTCATATACTAACATACCGAATCTCGTTTATTTATCTGAAAAAATAAAAAAGTTATAGGGGTGAGCCACTTTTGAGACGCACTCGGTATACTATATGTACCTTGGTACATAAAACAAATAATATACTTAGATATATTCAAGGAGTATCAAAAACTGGTTAAGCTGGATGGAATCAGCAACTATGAAGACATTTTCGGAAACATTGAAGATATCTATAAGTTACAACTCGAGTTCTCTAAGCAGCTTGAATTATCAAATCAACCTGAGGATGTCTTGAAAACGTTTTGCCAACATGTAATTAATAATAACTGTGTCTGTGTCTGTTCCTTTCTGTATAAACTTTTGTACCCGCTAATCTAACATACAGAATCAGAATCAATCAGTACAAAAAAATGTTCCAATAAAGAATCGACTTATAATTATAATTATTATCTCCTTTAAATACATAATACATTTTAGGAAACTTTGTTTAACATGTATCCAACATTTTTTAAACAAACATTAGACGGTAGCCATGTTCTGGAAAAGTATTCTGATTTATTACAGGTTTAGTTAATACCTTGTATAACTACGAAACACTGTATAAAACAAAATTATTTTCAGAAAATTCAGAAGAAAACTAACAACCCACAAAATCTGTCTTTTTACTTGGTAAAACCTCTACAGAGACTGGTCAAATACAAGATGTTTTTAGAAAGCATATATAAGGAGCTTGAAGAAGAGCAAAGAGGGATCTGGGATACATTCAAAGCCTTAAAAATTGTAGAGTGGACTTTATATTGCGGAAATCGAGAAGTTGCTATTAGTTCTATATCAAATAGCCCACTGAAGCCTGAAGAATATGGCGCATTTAAGAAGGAAGACACATTTTCATTGGTCAGTCCAAAAAAACTAAAAGTGGCTGTATATTTATTTAGTAAAGTTGTGGTTTTTGCTACGAAAACGAAAGTAAACAATTTTGTATAAAAAAAATTCTTAGTGATTATAATATTGATTTTAGTGTACTAGTAGATTTCAGTACTGGAATAGTATTTCAATAAGTAGTCTTGGCATAGTACTGACTCATGATAAAACACTACATTTAGTGGATTTTGAAAACAAATCCAAAAAGATCAATTACGTCCTAAAAGCCAAATCCAAAAAATTGAAAGACGCATGGTCAAAGGAAGTTGAAAACATTTTGTGGAAAGAATTCGAAGTACAAAAAGGTTAGGCTTACGACCAGATGAGTTAGGAAGTTAACTACACACACCGGAAAAATCTAGGGATATCATTTTATTAAAGTTAAAAATAATTTTTTTCAATAAACAACCATATATTTGTAGGCCGATTCTTTCTATACTTGCGCCAAATCGACGTAGCTAGAGCATTAAATACAACGCAAAGTATAATATCGCGATTAAGTGCACGCTACCGTGAAAGTGGTGATAAAAGGCACACAGGGCGACATCGCATTACTACCCCTCAGCAAGATCATTTTTTACAATAAAATGCTCGACGCCGACCGACTCTTACAGCACAAGAGCTTAGTTTAATTCTCCAGGAAACACATAATGTAACCGTTAGTCCTGACATTGTTCGGAAGAGATTAAGAGAGGGCAACTTAAGAAGCAGACGCCCCTGGAGAGCTCAACCCTTAACGAGAGGAAATCGAGAGGTACGATGTTTGTGGGCTCAAGATCATGTTCAGTGGTCGAATGAACAATGGGCCAATGTTCTCTTCACGGATGAGTCACGCTTTGGAATTCATCCGGACTCGAGAAGGCTTAGGGTATGGAGAGAACCGGAAAATCTTATTCGGTTGGATCATGTTCAGGAAGTGCACCCTTATCAAGGTGGAACAGTTATGGTCTGGGGAGGAGTCCAGTTAGGCCGAAAAACCGATCTCGTTTTTCTTGAGAGATTTCTAAAAGGAATCACATATCGTGATTTAATTCTTGAGCCAGTCGTGTTACCATATGCCAATGATTTTGGGAGAAACTTCATTCTCATGCATGACAATGCACGGCCTCATACAGCCAGAGTGGTAAGTGAGTTTATCAATTCTCATCAATTAAACATCTTACCCTGGGCGGCACAATCTCCTGACCTAAACCCCATCGAGCACGTATGGGACGCGGTCCAAAGAAGAATTTTGAGAATGTGTATGTCTCGCGAAACTCGTAGGGATCTGGTTCGGGCCGTGAATACAGCGTGGCAGGCTGTACCTCAAGAAGAGATCGATAACCTGATCAGGAGCATGGAGAGACGATGTAGGGCTGTAATGAACAGTAGAGGAGGCCATACCCTTTATTAAGTAAAAATGGTTTTATCTTTTTTTCTTTTAATTCACAGTTTAGAATTAAAAAAAATGTGTGTATTTTTTTGAGTTCAATAAAAATCAAGGTAAATTTGAAAAATTCGGTATATTTCGCACTTTTATTCCCAATACGTCCTGTAAACTATTTGTTTATTTTAATTTTATTATATTAGAAATGCAAATAATAAAATTACTGACGATGGCTGGATAAAATTGTAATATCCCTAGACTTTTCCGATGTGTGTATTTACAAGTTCATTTATTTGCTTTGTAGTGCATATAAAAATTTATAATAATTTTCTAATGCAACAGCAAAGCTTCAGATTTAAAACGGTATTTTACCATAGCACTCGACCAAATTCTAATAACTAACAAAAAAAATAGTTTATCATAAAGCATACAATTATTATCTTTAGTACAAACTTAGATATATTAATAAAATAAAATGTAAAATATTGATGCCTTATAAAGGTAATTTTAATTACCTGTTGTTAGGTTATTTCTTATTTAGAGTTATGTTTCTTTTCTTTATTTCTATTCTGGGTTTTCTACATCTTTGTCCTTTGTTTCATTCTTCTTCTAAGTTTGCTTATTTCTTCTTTAATTTTTTGTTTTCTTTTATATAAATCTATATTTGAAGATGGTTTTTACTCAATGTAAAACTAAAAACCATGTAATTTTTTAAGCGTCTACTATGTCTATATCATCAGATTGGACAGGTTCTGTCGATACTATAAAATCTGAAGAAGTTATATCAACACATTCCGAAAATAATAGTTCAGAGAATTCATCGAATACCGGAAGTGTTAAAAATTTGCAAAATATTGAAGAAATGTACGAAGAAATAAAAAATAAAAAAGCTGGAAGTAGTGAGGATCTAGAAAATTATGGTAATCTTATATTTAGCTAGAATATTGTGAAATATTTCTGAAAAATTGCGACTAACATTTTTTTTTTAATTGTTGATCAAATTGTAGAGAAAGCTTATTAAAACTTTAGAAATATTGCACAAAATTTTAAGAAATCTATATGAAAATTCAATAGTAAATAATCCTGCAGATAATGGTGCATGTTGCAACAGTATTTCAAACTGTGAGGATTTATACAAGAATAGCAAACAAATCTCTAATTGTAAAAAAACTAGTGGTGGAATAAGTAATGAAACTATAGAAAACTGTAATGGAAAACCAATTCAGGCAACGCATCTTTATGAAAACCTCAACGATATACAGAAAGAGGTGATTGAAAAATATGGTAAAAATGGGTTGTCTCATAAAGATGAAGCCAGTAACGTAGTTACTTTTGGATATATTACTAAAAGTATCGGTAATGAGAGTGGTTTTTTTGATGAAGGTATGATTTAAGACGATCCAGAAATAGCAGTACTCTAGGTATCACTTTTCCTGTTCTACGAGCCCTAACAACTATATGTTGGGACAAGGTCATATAATGGAATTATTGCCCTGGTTTTTTAAAATGACTGAAAAATATATGTTTAATTTTTTAAATATAGACATAACCATATATCCTAAACAACTTGACCATATTTTTATGAATTTGTAAATCAATCCATATTTACAGTAGCGGATTTTGTTCATAAAAAGAGATATTTGCTGACAACTAAATGTTGGGACAAGTATTTTTAAATAATTAATATCATCATAGGCGGCTTTGCTATACACGTCACAAATGTCGCAAACTGTTTACTTCAGCATTGACAGCTTGTAAGTGACTCGATACTTTGAGTAGTGAGATTTACTGTAAGAAATTTTAATTTTTTTAATTTTCAATTTTGTTAATTTAATCCAAAGTAATGGTCCGTGGAAAAGCTACAAATCAAAAACTACGCGAAATTATCAATCGTCAATACAGTACGGGAAAAACAGTTCAAAAAATTTCTGATGGTTTAAGTATTCCAAAAACCACGGTCTTTAATATAATAAAAAAATACGGCGAATCTGCCAACGTAGACGTTAGAGGTAAAAGTTCGGGAAGGCCAAAAGTTGTATCTCAGAGAGATTTACGAAATTTAGTAAAAATTTGCAAGTCTGCGAGAAGAAGTACTCTTCGCGAAGTAACACTCAAATGGAATACTGTAACTGGTTTAAATATATCAAGAGAATGTTGCCGAAAATATATCCACAAATGCGGTCTGGGCTTTTACAAGATAAACTTTATTTTGTGTGGATAATCAATTACCTGAAGATGATTGATACAAATTCTTATTTAGGCCAAAGAAAAACCGCTACTGACAGAAATTCAAAAGAAAAATCGCTACAATTGGGCAAAATCTAAATTATCGTGAACACAAAATGATTGGAATAAGGTCATATTTAGTGATGAGTCTAAATTTGATGTTTGCGTTGGAGATGATCGAAAACGAATAATACGAAATAAAGCAGAAGCCTTTCATAAAGATTGCTTAAAGAGGGCTGTTAAATTTCCTAAGGGGAATATGGTTTGGGGTTGCATGTCAGCAAGAGGTTTGGACAAATTAAATTTTATAGATGGCACTGTTAACGCTCAAAAATATCGACATATTCTTGAGACCTCACTTTTGCCTAGTGCTCAAGAATTGTTTCCAAACGAAGACTATATTTTCCAACAAGATGGAGCATCGTGCCATTCAGCAAGATCAACTGAAAATTGGTTCGGTAATAATAATAAAAAAGTTCTATCCCATCCTTTAAGTAGTCCGGACCTCAATGTTATAGAAACTGTGTGGCATAAAATGAAGCAATATTTAAGAAACCACCCTCAACGAACAATTTTTGATTTGCGGACAAAACTGCAGGAAATTTGGGATAATTTATTTCCTCAAATGTGCCAATCTTTGGTAAATACAATGCCATTAAGAGTTCAGGCAGTTGTTAAGGCGAAAGGTGATGTAACTCCGTATTAAACAAATTTCTTGTTGTGCTGTCCCAATATATAGTTGTCAGCAAATTTGGCTTGATTTTATCAAAATAAGCTATTATCAAAAGTGGTTTGTTTGCAAAGTTATAAAAATATAGTAAAATTTTCCAGATCATCATATTGTAATGTTTCAATTTAGAATAATAAACAAAATAAATTGAGTCGTTTTAACAAATTACTATTTTTATTGCAAAAAAAGACCTTGTCCCAATATACAGTTGTTAGGGCTCGTATAATCTTTGTTTTAGCAGCAAACGGTTCTGACAGTATTTATGACGATGTATATGATGATAGTGATGACATTACTGATGACCACTCGTACACGAATTGTAATTGTTATGGTTTTTATTCCAAAAATCTTATCAACAAAAGTGTCCTATATGAGGAAAGTGTTTTAAGCAATGATCAGTCAGCTGATACAAAAAATAAGTAGGAAATATTATAAATATGTATCTATACCGGGTGCGTCTCAAAAGTGACTCACCCCTATGACTTTTTTATTGTTTTAAGATAAAAAAACGAGATTTGGTATATAAGTATGTATAATAAATTGGGATTGATTGACGTAATCAATTGTTTTTGGTCACTTTCTATTTCACCGAAAATGACTACAACATTTTTAATTAGCACCCTCGGTATATTTCTACTTTATTCAATAGAAAATGACACTCTCAATAGAATGACGTATAATATGTCAACTTTTGACATTTTCACATATTGTTTATTTGAAATTGTAACATGCGGTTCATAATGACAATTTGACTCGAAATATCAAGTGTGTGGTACCAAATTGTTCGTAAAAAAATACTTTTTCCAAATATGCTAATTCGCCAATCTTGTTCTATTTGAAAAAAAATATAGATATTATTAAAAATATAATGGGATATGGGGTTAAAAATTTTAAAAAATCATAACTCCAAAATTACAGTAGCTAGCGAAACGAGTTTTTTTTAAATGAAAGGTATATATGTCTAGATTTGTTATGAAGTATTTTTAAACTGTTGAATGGCTATTTCTTAGTGTAAATCGACTAAATATTAAAACATACCTAAAAACACCTACACAGAATACCTCCAGAAATAAATTATTGGTCATTGTCAGTGGTTTGTCAGTTAGATTATATATCAAGTTTTTAGATAATTTAGGGATCAGTTCATACAGCCAGCTTTAGATACATAAATATTAGAGCAAAGGTTCGTTTAAACGACATTAGTGAATTAGCTACACAAAGCGATTTTAGGAAATTCATCCTCTTAGAGAGTAAAATTATGTCGGAACAATTTGTTGTATGAAAATTCTTTACTATGTGGTCTAGAAGAATGAAATCCTAAAAAAAGAATTAGAAAAGATTTTTGAAATTCATCAACCAAATGGGTAAAGTTAGTAAAAATTTATATAAAACTTGGTGACCTCTGGATTATACACATAAAAATTGGCACAAAGGATCATTTAAAAGACATGAGTTAATTATTTGGATAAAGCGATTAGCCATATTATAGCCATATTATACATATTAGTTTGTAATAACATCAAAATCAGTCAAAGTCCCAGTTTTCGAGATATTAACATATTTTAGTATGGGCGGCTATACGGGCCTCCCGGCGCCAATTTTTTTTATCTAAAGAAATAAAAAGTTTTAAGGTTGAGCCACTTTCGAGACGCATCCACTATCTATTTTCAATTCTCATTTTAAGATGGAAAATATGATTTTTTTCTTCTAATTTTTTTTGTTTAGTCTCATTTTCTTTAAATTTTCTTCTCATTTTTAGAATCAAATTTATTATTGAAGAAATGGTCCAATCTGAGAAAAAATACATTTTGGATTTAGAAATAATTATATATGTAAGTTTTTGTATAGCATATTTTTGTAAAACAAATAATATAATTTGATATACATATTTAAGGAATATCAAGAATTGTTTAAACTAAGCGGAATAAGTGACATTGAAGAAATTTTTGGAAATATCGAAGACATATATAACAAGCAACTCCTTTTCTGTAAGCAGCTTGAATTAGCCAAAGAACCTGAGGATATTTTAAAATGTTTTTCCCAACATGTAGGTAATTTCCAACTTTTTATACTGATCTTCTACTCTACAAGTTCTTATACAAATCTAAAATTACGTATAAACCAGTAATGTCTATCTTTGAATTAACGCATTTTATACATTTTAGGAGAGCTTGTTTAACATGTATCCAATATTTTTAAAACAAACCTTATCAGCAAGTCATGTATTGGAAAAATATGAGGAAGCTTTACAGGTTAAATCACGCATTCAGATATTTAAAAAAAAACAGCCCTTAAAAGACATTTTTTTTTAGAAAGTTCAAAAGAAAACTAATGATCCTCTAAATCTACCCTCGTATTTGCTTAAACCTCTACAGAGGCTGGTGAAGTACAAGTTGTTTTTAGAAAATATCTATAAGCAAGTCCAACGAGAAGAAAGAGTTGTCTATGACTCTTTCGAAGCTTTAAAAATCGTCAAGTGGAGCTTGTCTTTAGGTGATCGAGAAGTTGCTATTAGTTCCATAGCAAACAGCCCTATCAAACCTGAAGAATACGGCGCTTTTAAGAAAGAAGATAAATTTTTATTAGTCAGTCCAAAAAAACTAAACGTTGTTGTGTATCTGTTTAGTAAATTTGTTGTTTTTGCTACGAAAACTGAGGTAAAAAATCATAGAAATGGTTAGGTAAGTGTTTATATTAAAATGTTATTTTTAGTGTAGCAATAGATTTCAGTATTGGAATAGCATTTCTATAAAAAGCTTGAGTATGGTACTTACATATGATAAAACACTACATTTAATGGACTATAGGAACAAATCCAAAAAGCTGAACTACATCCTTCAAGCCAGAACTGAGAGTTTGAAAAAGTTCTGGGCAAAAGAAATTCAAGGTATTTTGTGGAAAGAATTTGAGGCAGAGAGAGGTAAGTCTTACCGTAAAAAAAACGACGTCAAAGACGGCTGGAATGACAATCAATGATAATTTTGGCGAGGTAAATCTCTAGATGTCATTGAATTGCCATCAAACTTGTCAAAATTAACACTAATTATAGAAAGTTTAAAAAAGGATAGAACGTTTTCAGACACATAAATCTTTTTCCAAAAAAATAAAAACAATAAACATCATTTTTACTTAATATAATAATAAATTACAACATTCTTCAGGCCAACTGGCAATAATGGCGATAATATAGGCCATAATGACGTATAGCGGTTTGCCTCGCCAAGATTATAATCGATTGTCCCGTCTTTGGCATCGATTTTTTTCGATCGTATGGCATTTTGGTGAAATTTTTGGTTTGAACTAATATATCAATAAGTATATGATTAACGAGGATAATATATTGTTTCAACCTTGTGTTTCCTTCTATACAACATAATATTGATTTACTCACATAATAAACGTTTTTTTTTTCAGAAAAGAGACTCATGACTTTATAAACTAAAAATGTAATAAAAAAAATCACATGGAAAACATTGTATTTTACTATTTTATTTATTCTTTAACCGAAAAAAGGTATAATACACATGGCAATATAAGTAATTTTATATAATAAGCATAAGTAAAGTTTGTATAATCTAAACATAACTTTTGTTTTATTTTTCACGATAATCAATATAACGACAATTGGACTCGAAATACCAAGTGTCTGGTACCGTATGATCGAGAAAAAACGGTGTCAACGATGGCTATGAAATGAAGATCGCTGTCATTTTATATGTAAATTTATATGGGAAATGTCATTGATCGTCATTTCCCAGCCAACTGGACGCCGTTTTTTTTCGATCATACGGTACCACCCACCCTTGTTCTATTTGAAAAAATTGAGATATGATTAAAAATACGATTTGGGCATATTTTAACCGGCCTGGACAAGACACGAAAAACATTAGACGATCAAATCTATTTTTCTAAGGCTTCTTGATTAAAAATTAGTGTTTTTAACACCGTCATGATACTCTAGATTTAAATTTAAAACACGACTTTTTTAAGCAAAAATATAAAAACTTGACATATGATGTGTCATTCTACTCAGAGTAACATTTTCTATCGAATAAAGTAGAAATATACCGAGGGTACCATTTAAAAATCAAAATTTGTAATTTCCGGTGAGACAGGAAGTGAACAAAAACAATTGAATACGTCAGTCAATCCTAATTTATGTCATATACTCACATACCAAATCTCGTTTTTTTTTATCTGAAAAAATAAAAAAGTTTTGAGCCACTTTCGAGACGCACCCTGTCGAAATATTTTGCATCATTTTTCAATTAAAACAGCAGTAGACTAAAATATAGCCATCATAAGAAGATATACCGGGAGGGTCTCAAAAGTGGCTCACCCCCTATAACTTTTTTATTTTTTCAGATAAAACAACGATATTTGGTATGTTAGTATATGACATAAATTGGGATTGATTGACGTATTCAATTGTTTTCGGTCACTTCCGGTTTCACCGGAAATGACTACAACTTTTGATTTTTAAATGGCACCCTCGGTATTTTTTTACTTTATTCGATAGAAAATGACACTCTAAATCGAATGACATATCATATGTCATCTTTTGACATTTTGCAATATGGTTTATTTGAAATTTTAACATGAGGTTCATAACGACAATTTGACTCAAAATACCGAGTGTGCGGTTTTAAATTATTAGAAAAAAAATGCTTTTTCCAAATATGTTAATGAGCCACCCTCGTTCCATTTGAAAAAATTGAGATATGATTCAAAATACGATTTGGGCATCTTTTAACGGGCCAGGACAAGACACTAAAAACAGTAGACGATCAAATCTATTTTCCAAGGCTCCTTGATTAAGAATTAGTGTTTTTAACACAGCCATGACACTATAGATTGAAATTTAAAATAGAATTTGTTTTTGAGTGACTATGTCAAAAATTGACATACGATATGCCATTCGATTCAGAGTGTCATTTTCGAGGTCATTTTCTATCGAATAAAGTAAAAAAATACCGAGGAGTCATTTCCGGTGAAACCGGAAGTGACCGAAAACAATTGAATAAGTCATTCAATCCCAATTTATGTCATATACTAACATACCAACTCTCGTTGTTTTATCTGAAAAAATAAAAAAGTTATAGGGGGTGAGCCACTTTTGAGACGCACCCGGTAGATAGAGTTTTTAGAACTTTAGAATTGATGAACTTCTAGAACATAGAAAATACATTCATTTTCTTTTAAAAATGTCTTATCAAGCAAAAATATATACTAAATATAAAAAATAAAACACAATATCTATAAAAAAAACTTAGAATATATTTAAGTTAAACTTCTCAAAATAATGCCACTATTTTTAGTTAAAAAAAATAATTCACGGTAACTTAATACATGTACACGATATTTTTCGCTACAATACTACATAACAAATCAACCTAATACAATACCCTATGAATAATACGTATTATGTACAAATATCTACAATTATATAAAACAAGCTAACTTAAAACAGTTCAATATCACAATGAATAAAATATGTACAATACACATGTTTAAAAGTTATGCATACTGTCAGTGCAGCCCCCCTAAAACCTGTAAGTTGGGTTAAATATTAACCTTTTGGGTTAAAAATTACACCCTAAAAGGCATATTTTACATTATTTTTGATTTGGGCCCCCCCCCTAAAATAAATTTCTGTAACCGCCCCTGCATACTGTAAATGTACGAGTTTCAGATTAAGTACATTGACAACAACTTTAACTTTTAAATGTGTGTTTATATTAAGCATCTATGGCAGCTCACAAAAAGTCTTAGAAATGCAAATCTCTCTCAAACAACACTTATTATTACGTATAAATGCCTAGTACAATAAATTTATACAGTATAGTTCGTAAATTTAAGTAATTCAATATTTTTCATCGTCAAAAAATGCAATAATAAAGAAATAAACATACAAACTTTCAATAATTGTAATTTAAATAAATACGAACATTCTCTTTTAATAATAATTATGTACAATGTATTTTACAGGGTTTCTTGTTTATGAGCCAATGCCAGTGGCGTAACTAGTTTTTCGCTGGGAACTATCATGGCACCCTGTACTAATTACTTGAAATAATTAACTAATACAATTTATTTATACATGTACTGTTCGATAAATAATATTCTCTGGTTCCATTTCTATACGCCAAAACACTTTTTTTATGGAAAAAGGCACATCATCATAAAAAATCAATGGCAAACTCAATACACTGTACAAAACATGAACAGACAGCTTAAAAGTCCTCGAACAACTTCAGTTCTGAATCATCTAGTGTCCTCGAACTCTTCCAGTCGGTCTCTGGGTAATCGTCAAAGTTGCTGGTGTCCCCTTCGTACATAATTTTTGGTACAATAGGCGGCTGAAAAAGAAATGGTTTAGAGTAAGTTAAGTACATTTTTTTGATTTTTTTTAATTAAAAAAAGAGAGAGAGATTTTGTCTAGGGGCTTCTCAGAGTAACTATTCTGAAAGCAATTTTTTTTTAATATTATTTAATTCAACATTAAGTGATGCTTAGTCACTGCATATGGAATTTGCTCACTGGAATAAGGTTCGTTTCTTAGTTGCTTCAGAATGGTCTGGCAGTGGTTCAGGCCTATAGTCACCTCAAAGAATCTAATTTAATATAACGTTGATCCACCTTGCTAGTTGTGCGTGCACAAATTGTATACAGCCCAAGGCAACACAGATAGTTCCAAATCCCTTCGGTTTAAGACTGGCTACCAAAACATAGTTCCTAACTGTGCACCCTGTTATTTTTGGATAGTATCTGTTACCACCCTGTTACTAGTCATTTGGAATTTAAACACCCAAAATTAAGGTAACATGCTTAGTCGCAGAATAGTCGCAGTACCCTATATTTTGGGTCTTAAAGTTACGAGGCATTTGGGTACTAATTGTTGGTCCCAAAATAGTAGCTGCAACTATGGTTTGTTACTATAAAGTAACGGGTACTATACTCCTATTGACGTCTTGCTTCTATAAAGTTGTGGATACTAAAAAATATTTCTTTATAGTAGCAGATCGCGTATTTACCCATTCTGTCCGTTACCACAAGAATAAAGATCAATAAAATTGTTTGTTCACTGCGCTGCTAGTGGACCTTCCTAGACAAGTTCACCAGGATAAAGGGTTTATTGGATTAAATTTAGAGAAGTATGACTGGGCTTTGATATGACAATAAATTATTTTAAATCTATTTTTGAAAATTCATATACATATTATGTATAATTGTCATATTTTCTATATTTGTAAAGTTCTTATAGCTGCATTTATCTAGGAATGTCGAGTTGGTGACTACTGATAAATTTAAAGATATAACAGAGCTCAGAAAGAAAGTAACATCAGTCAGGAACTAAAGCATTGGGCCTTAAAACACCAAATCAGCCACATTGCTTTAACAGATTTACTTGGTATACTAAAAAATGAAGGCTTAACATCATTGTCAGGAAACAGCAGAACTTTATTGAGTACACCGAGATATTGTGCCATTGTTCCAATTGGAAATGGAGAATTTTGGTACAATGGAATAAGGAAGATTTTAGTAGCACGTTTATAGGAAGAGACCAACCTAGAATCGGTGTCTCTAATTTTTAATGTTGACGGCTTGCTTCCATTTAAGAGTTCTCCATTAGAATTTTGGCCGATATACCAAGAATTTTGATCGAAATACCAAGTGTGTGGTATCAAATTATTCGTAAAAATGTTTTTTCAAATATGCTAATAAGTCATCCTCGTTCCATCTGAAAAAATTGAGATATAATTAAAAAAAATTTAGGCATCTTTTAACCAGTTAGAACAAGACACGAAAAACATTAAATGATCAAATATATTTTTCCAAGGCTCCTAGATAAAAAATTAGTGTTCTTAAATTGTTTTGAGATGAGAGGTAGGCGGAACTTTATAGGAACATATGGAACTATATTGTCACCAAATGCCTGATTGTCCGACTTTTTGGGTGTTCAAAGTAACGTTTTAGTTCCAGTAGTTACCATAGTGTACAAATTTTAAATACATTTAAGGATAATAAAGTTAACAAAGTAACTTTTGGGTAGTAACAACTTAATCACTGGAAGTAGCGGATCTTTTAAAGTAAAAAATGGGTAGTCCCTGCTACTTCATAGGGAAGAGCCTAACTTTATCGTAGCGAAGTGTGCGTCAGCCATTTTTTACTGTCAGACATTTTTTAATTAAATTTATTTGTTAATATATTTTCATTTTTTTTTTCTTTATTTTCCCAAGTTTTATAGTGCTTTAAGCATTTATTTTTCCAATTAGAACTCGAACACACTTTTGTGCATTACGAAATATTATTTTTAATATTTTCGATATTATTTTTTGTCCTTAAATATCTACAAAGTTGAATTAATTCGAAGGCGCGTTAAAATATTTCCATCTAACTCGGTAATATTTGTCAGTAAAGTGACGTGCGTTATTATATTAGTCCTGGAAGTGTCCGAAATACGCGATTAAAAACCATCATTTTCCTCATAAACATAATACGCCATTATTAACTTAACTTTAACATGGCCATGCACCGCGGCTGTCATATCATATTATTATTTTATTTCAAAACATTTTTTTAAAAGTAGAGGTTGCTAGAAGAATGTTTTGCTTTGAGTTTAAATACTTTTGGCTTTGCTACTATATAGTACCAGTTACCAGGCGGCTACGTAGGGGCAACCAGGCCGCTACGTAGCAGGATAGTGGCCGCTACTACCCTTTCACTTTATAGTTACCACAGACTAACCTAAACAGATGCGACAAACAATGCAAATGTGAAAATTACATTTTGGCGAATGCGCCAGGCAAATTTTTCCGTTAAATTTGTCATATAGGCGAATTTTACAGCGGACCAGCAAAGTAACCTTCATTCGTTTACTAAGAAGCCACGCCTCCTTTGTGTAGAAAATAGAGAGGGAATTTTGTAGTTCGGAATCAAATGGAGATGAATTTAATTTCATTAGTTTTTTTTCAATTTTTGATACATTCACAATCTATACCTACTAATATATAAAATTCTTAAGTGACTGACTCACTGATTAATCACGATCCTGCTCAAACCACTCAACGTAAGAAGCTCAATTTTGGCATACAGGTTGATTCTAGGGCGTAGAGGTTCGTTAAGAAGAGATTTTTCGAAATTCCAGTTCCAAGGGGGTGAAACCATCCCTCAAATATTACAATATTTTTTATTTAAAAAACGGTCAAGTTTCCGAGAAAACGCTTAAACACGTATATTTTATTTTGTTTGGTTTGTTTTACATAATTTAAGATTTTTTAAAAATGTATACAGGGTGTTTGGAAAATCTGGTCATTGATTAATCACGATCCTGCTTAAAGCGCTTGACGTAAAAAACTGATTTTTGGAAAACGGATTGACTTTAGGGTGTAGAGGTTCGATAAGAAGGGATTTTTCGAAACTCGAATTCTAAGGGGGTGAAACCACCCCTCAAATATTAGAATCTTTTTTATTTAAAAACCGATGAGTTTTTCGGAAAAACTCTTAAAAACGTATATTTTATTTTGTTGTTTTACATATTTTAAGATTTTTTTAAAATTTATACAATGTGTTTCATAAAATATGATCATTGAGTAATCACGATTCTGCTTAAACTGCTTGACGTTTAAAGCTGATTTTTGGCAAACGGATTGACTGTGGGGTGTAGAGATTCGATAAGGAGGGGTTTCTCGATTCCAAGAGGGTGAAAATGCCCCTCAAATATTACAATATTTGTTATTTAAAAAACGGTTAGTCTTTCGGGAAAACGCTTGGACACGCATAATTTATTTTGTTTTTTTACATATTTTGCATTTTTTTAAAAGTTGGGTAATTGATTAACTACGATTCTGCTTAAACTGCTTGACGTAAAAAGCTTATTTTTGGCAAACGGATTTTTCGAAAGTCAAATTCCAACGAGATGAAACTACCCGTCAAATATTACCAAGTTATATAATAATATCGCCATATTGTTTTTTTCTCAGGCTCAGGACATAAATGTGAGAACATTTTATCCAGTTTGTATGTTAATGGTTGAGTTTAAATATCTTTGGAACGAACTATAATTATTATAATTATCCCTAAATTTCATCTCCCAAAAAGAAAAAAAGTCGGTACAAACATTCCGTAAAATTGGTTCTGGGAGTTTAATATTTTGCACAAAGGTAATTTCATCCCCTAAAGAGGTGAAATTAGTGGTAGAAATTTATATAAAAATTTGTAAAAATCTCGTCCTAAGAACATACAATAATTTTGTTATTAATAATTTCAAAAGGTTTCTTAAGTAACGCAATGACTATATGAGAGGCGACTATGAAAATTCATCCCCGAGGAGGGTAAAATTAGGGCTGAACAATTATAAAGCAAAACATAAAATAAAAACCTGTTCATTCAAAGCATTACACAATAAAGGTTTCTCTAAGGATAATATTGCAAATATTCGTTAATATTTGGTATAGAAGTATGATATTTCGGTGTGGCATACTTACGAAGCGTTTTCTCGAAACTCATTTCCTAAAGGGGTAAAATTAAGAGCAAAATTTTATGAAAATTCGTTAGTACTATGTGGTTTAGAAGTACATAATATTTATGAATTAAAATTTGGCCAAATATGCTTAAGTATAATTGGGAAGCAATAGTATAGAGTAGAAGAAACGATTTTTGAAAATCCCTCATCTCGGGGATGATAGGGGTGAAAGTTGGCATGAAAATTTATTACTACCTGCATAGAAGTATAATATTTTTACAAAGTTTATGTAGTTAATAAGTCAATTATTTGATCGAACTGTATGTCTATTTAAATTCGCTTTTTTCGTATTAGAAAATATAGGTATTTTCGGAAAAAACACCTACAGTTTTTGATATAATTTAGTCCTAGAAAATCTAAAAAATGTATCTTCTTCAGTTTTTAGTGAAATGTTTTCTCATCCATTGAAAGCACATTTTTTTAAAAGCATTTTAAATAAAATCAAAACAAGAAACTTAAACTGAATTAACTAAAACAATACTAAGAACACCGTGAACTAACTAAATGTAAACCAACAAAACCCAACAGAAAATTAAAATCGGAAACAGCTAATAATAATGATGTATGTAATATCCACGTGAAACAACTGAAGAAACTGACTTAAAAATCCTCTGAAAAGTGAAAACCTTCAATATTCCCATCTTAGATTCCCATATTCCTTTTTATAGGACACTGTTGCCAATTCTACTTACCAATTTGTATAAACTATATCGGTATCACGGCACATGCAAACAATATGCCGTGTCTGTATCATAAAAGTACCCTATTTGCTATATAAAAGATCAGCTGCTAAATTTTAAATCAATTTAAAATATCAAATAAAATGATAGTAGTGCATAAAACTATTAACAAGCAGGATATAACAATAATTAAAGATAATTTAAGCTGGCTAATAGTAGATAGACTTTAGTTTAATATTTGAAATTAACAGCTGGAAGTACAGCTAAATACAAACGGCAAGCTGACAACAAAGATCCTATTCTTTAAGAATTTTATATTTCTGATATTTTATATCATTTTTCATTTTAAAGATATCGTCATTTTCTTTATACATATGTATTGATTTTAACCCATTGTTAAAGTTTGTAAATTTCTCATACTTAACAAATAAATATTAGCTGATATTTCCTAACATCATGTAATTATAGTTATTTATTATTATCCAGGAGAAAGCGCTAATACAATGTTATATGTATAACATTTAATTCTCCCATAAAAAAAGTTCAAGCTGGCAATCTCGCTTTGGCTTTATAATCGTACGGCGGCTGCGACGGCTAGACGAGACGGCGCGGTGTATCAAAGGCAAGGTTAAAGGCGAGAAAGAACGAAAGAAATGGAAGCTTAGGGAAGGGGGGAGTGCGGGAACGATTTGAAGTCACGACGGCTGTTTGTTTGGCCGAATATTTTGCCTTCATCGACGGTATCGCCGCTCTGTCGTCGCACTTCCGAACATAGGTCTTTTTGAACACAAAATTTCCCATAAGGTGTCGCATCTGTTTAAGTTAGTTTGTGTAGTTACAAAATATAGTGGCAGCGTTAGTCTCTGGGACCACCCGGTATACTACCCAGTTACCCTAAATTCTTCCCCATTTTAGTAACAGTTACGTGGCGGCTACGTGGCGGCAACGTAGCCGTCGATAGTGGCAGTCTACTTGATGGTCGCTTTTGTAGTCCCAGGAACGTACCTGCTACTATCTGTGTTGCTTGGGAGGTTGCTAATTTGTTCATTACTCGCGGCAAGAGCTTGCTCGTGGCATTATGGCAACCTCGGCCCGCTCGTCGATAGACGACGCGACGGGACGAGTCGGCAGAAAACCCTAGTGCATGCGCTCTCAATAGGCAGTATTGCCATTCTGTTTCCCTATAACTAACTGTCCAGTTAACAACCTGTATAGTTATGTTAACTTACCGTTAGCTTCCTGTGGACTACATCTTGCCATTCAATGCCTTTGAACCACCTGTGCCTTTTGACGTCATCAGCTCCACTCTAGGAAGAAAGAATAATAAAGCAAATTGGATAAATGTATTTATTGAACTATTTGTATCACAGTGGCCTATGATATACAACCAATAAACGTGTAGTATGTATATATTTACCTTCATATTTCCTAGTCGTTTGGTCCGATCTTGTACCAGTAACTTTTTGATAATGTCTTTGGCAACGGGATCTATATGTCTTGCCCATTCTATCTTTCCACTCAAAATTTTCTCATATATCCCAAAAGGATTGTCATCATAAAATGGCGGGTATCCAGCCAACATTTCATATATTAATACACCTGTAACAAAAAAGAAATATAGATTTTGTATAAATTTAAAATTATGTTTTCAAAAAATACGAAGTAAACTGTATGTAGGTACTGTTTGAATCTAAGTAAAATAATTGTTGGTTCAAGTCCAATTTAATGAAATATTCTTTCTAAAAAACTATCTACTGAATTTAAGTCACTTGCTATTATAGAAGTGTCAAAATATTGTTGTGTCTAAAATACGTTTTGAATGAAAATATATTTTCCAAATTTCTAAAATTATATCGAGTGTATATTTCAAAATTGTTATGTCTATTACTACTCCTAATAGTCCCATGAGATGTTCCTGAGATAAAATTGGAAATTATGTAAACTTCTTGTAGCATTTTTTATTTTCTTTAATAAAATTGAATTTAAAAATCTATTTTTATTTAAATTTCTTAGTATTGGCGCCATCTATTTGCTAGATGCCAAAGATATCAAACTTCATTTATTACAGTTCACTTGTCTTGTTTATTAGCGCCATCTATTCGCTATATGCCAAACTTCCTTAATTGCATTTCACTTGTCCCGATATTTAATTTTTATTAGCGCATCTATTCGCTAGATGTCAAACTTCATTTATGACAGTTGGGTTCTGAAACTGAGAACTGAGAAGAAGGTCTTTTTTTCTGGGAATTTGGATCTGAAGAAGACGCGTGTTTCGGCGTCCGACAAATTTTCCAGTGAAAAGCACTCTGAATCCACTTTTCGATTTCGATTGCATGGGTATCCGATTTGGAAATTTGAAAACCTTGTAAAGTATGCAATACAGAGTATAGATCGTATTTGTTTGGTTTCTTCTTGGAATGATCACCGTAAGTTTATCCGCCATTTTATATAGCCCTATCTAACTAAATTCTATTTCAGTTATTTCCGTTTTTATTTCGTTTATTTGAGTATTTAATTACTGGTTTGGATCGGCATATGGTTTGAATATATTTATGTAAAGCTGATTTTCAGACCGTAAGTTGTTTTTTTATTGAGTATCTGTCCTGAGAACTATTTTTTATTTATAGAGTAACTACCACATGGTACTCAGTAACTACCACATGGTACTCAGTAACTACCACATGGTACTCAGTAACTACCACATGGTACTCAGTAACTACCACATGGTATGCAGTAATAATGCAGTAATTATTGTATGTTTCACCCACTTTCATTTTGTATGGACCTATGCAGACCTTAAGACAGTGTTCCTGACATTACAATCGTTCTTTTGGCTGATATCGAAGACTTCTCCTGCCATAGTCATCTGCATCTACTTCTGTTAGTCTGGAGAATACCTACCTACCTGTTTACATCATAAGAAACTATATACAGATAAGTCTTAAGTTTGATACACAAGGTACGCTTTTACTTTATAATTTTTGAGACAACAGATTTAATAACCTGGTAAATTATCACTATTTATCCCACATATTGTAGTCAAAATTATTTTTTATTTAACGTTATAAGTTATAATTTGATTCGTACAGTAAACTCTTACTTAGCTATGATATTTTATATGAAAATTATTAACACATATTCATTTTAAAGGTTTTTGTACACGACATGTTTCGAAACATCATCGTATTGAGACATACATAAATTTCACCTGTTTTTATATTAAGTAGCTTACTTAGTTCAAAGAATACAGTTACTAAATTCGAATCTATTTAAAATAACTTGCGGTTTTATTGGGATCACTGTGACAAATTGATGATACTTGTGTTCGTTTTCAATAAATGTTTAATGTAGGATAGTTATTTCTGACTTTTATTTCTGATAAACATAATAGACCCTTAATGCTGTTGATTACTTTATTTTAGCTATGTTGTGATATCATATTTTTCTTTTTGGTTTCTTACTTTACCACTCTCATAAACAAAGTAAGTGGCGCCCTTTTCACTGTCTTTGACCATACCTATTAACATCAATATTAAAATCTCTGCAGCCTACATATTATCATTTTCTAATTTTTTAACAACATTAGAAAGTCACTGTGAGTCAGAAGCCTTACCTACGAACCCAGCTTTCCTCTAACCCTGAGCAACGGATTCTTTTTTCATTCTATTTGGGTAACGACAGAAAAGTCGTCACATTCTATATCTATATACAGGGTGGTCCGAACTGTATTCCGGTAACATCGACAGCATATTCTGCAGATAAAAATAAGTGAAAGAATTCGTATAAATGTATGTCCTAAAATAAACCAACTGAAAGCGGAACTGAATAATCTGGAAGAGTCCATCCGTAACTTGGAATGGGTGTCCTCCAATGATCTAAGACACTCGAAAAAGTTCCTCAGATCCCAAACTTATTAATTATGTAACAAAAACATTATTCTGTTTTGCTTCATAGCTTGTCTAAATAAATTTTAAACAATAAACCACAGATACATTTAACCTTCAATTATTTTTAAGTTCGAGGCTTCCATAAATCTCTCCGCATCTTCTACACAGCTACTATACGTTTTTGGGAATACTCCAAAATTTTCTAACTTATGTTTTTTCCAATTCACTTGACTTTATGGTGGCCAATAAAAGAGGGCTTGATGAGACCGCTAAAATTATTTCGGATATACTACTACGATTTGGAAACTGTTCAGAAACATGTCAGCTGGAACATGTGTTCGAAACAACATTGAACAATACTCCATGAGATAATTTATAGTTTACAGTGGTGCTAGTGTACTACGGGTCTATTAAGGAACAGGAAGACGGTGTTGCCAATAGTATGTCTAGTTTTTATTGGCTAAAACTTGGACGTCATGTTCAGGCACGCATCAGTCATTTTAATCTATGTGTAAAGTACTTAAAATGATGATACTTTTTGTTTTACTTCCTATATTTAATTTTAAACGTAAGTTTGGTTTCCTGATTATTTTAAGTAAGTTATTTTATGATGTTATTAACAAATATCGTATTGTTGAAATAGAAATACACTTATAAAACACAGGGGAAATAAAAATTTGTAGGGAAATTACAGGTAGGCCAAAATTGAATTCTAAAAAAAATGGCGAATGCGCCAGACTAAATGTAAATTTTCATATATTAAACAATATGTAATAATACAATCGACAAAAAACGGCATAATAGTGTCCTTTAAATGAATAATCAATAATAAATTCTGCCAGACTTGTATGGTACCAAATTATTCGTAAAAAAATTCTTTTTCCAAATATACTCATTAGTATATTTGGCTATCGCTTCATTTGGAAAAATTGAGATCTTTTCACAGGTCAGGACAAGACACGAAAAACCTTAGACGATCAAAACTATTTTTCCAAGTCTCTTTGATTAAAAATTGAGACTTTATTGAAATTTAAAATACGATTTTTCTTTAAAGCGAAAAAGTCAAAAGTTGACATAATATAATACTGTTGTTCAGGGAGTCATTTTCAATCGAACGAAGTAAAAAATTCCATTTAAAAATAAAAAGTTGTAGTCATTTCCGTTAAAACAGGAAGTGATAAAAAACAATTGAGTTCACCAATCAATTCTAATTTATGTGATATACTAATATACCAAATCTCGTTTTTTTATCTGAAAAAATAAATTTCGGGACGCACCCGGTAAATCTATATTATCTTATCGATATTTTTTTAGAAGCTCTCTCACTTTTTAACTTTTACTTTTCTAACATACTCGTAATCAGTCAGTTTTGCAAGTGTGATTTGAAAGCCTACTAAGACGACATTTTCTTCGGTTATAAAATATTTAGTTTATCTTTCAATTAGACTTTTTTAGTCGAGATGTTAAAAAATAAAAAAAAAACAAATAGTAAAACATTTTTTTTAACTCTTGTGTTATTTTTACAAGAGAAATGTTGGCAAGTTTTGAAAATATCTAAAATTTATGACATTCGTTGTTTGAAAATAAGCACCCTTTGATCTGAATCTATTGTTTCAACACTCAAATTAGTAAATATATAAATACTGCATTTTATTTATATATTTCGAACACGTGTATTTAATTTTATTTAATTTTCACTATATATTACAAAGAAAATAAAACAGAATTTAATACCTTTTTTTATTGGTCTATAAAAATTGGTTTTTAAAAAAGGCCCATTTTTATACAACCGTTTAGTAGTATAGAAGTTCTATAAAAAGGGTATACAACTCTTATGCAACTATTTTACACAGCGTTATATAACTATTATAAAACTAGTTTTATTGTGTATTACGTGGTCACATCTAAGAAACAGAACATTTGATCATTTAGCGAGGTAAAAAAGTATTTTATTTTTTACCGAAGAATATTAGGAGCAAATTATATTTTAAGCGTGTCATAAAATGAATCTAGAGGATGTGGATTGTTAAAAGGGAGACTTTACTCGACGGTGAAAATGGCGGGTAGAGCCAGAAGGTACAGCAAATATGTAATATAAGAAATCATTAATACGGTTTGAAAAGTAGGGACAATTTTTGTTGCGCCGAAAATTTTACTGGTAGATTATAGGTATGTATTTGGCAAAAAATTAAAGCGCTTTAATTTCGATTAAGGTTTACGTATAAATTTAAACAATAAAATAAAATAAAATTTTCAAAAATTCTTGTTTTTAATTTAATTAGACAGTTTATTACTGTATGTGGGAATCTTATTACAAAATAGTTCTCAAAAATAACATTTTACAATATATTTTGATGTTTTTAATTTTGCTTCATATAATGGCGGCCATAGGCCATACAAAAATTCTGCCTTAAACATGGCGAATTATAATGCAAACATTTTATTATAAATGAATCCCTTAAATAAGTCTTTGTTGTAAAATAATACGGTATAGGATAAATATCTATCATTACGCAGAATTTCCAGGCACTATAAAAATATTTTTGACATATTGAGATTTGTGACAAATAGATGTTGCCAAATCTCATTTGATTAGTATTTAAACTAACAAACACGATCAGGTTTTCATGGATTCATGCATGCCCGACGAGTGAGCGGCAACCTAAGGACTTGGAAAATCAACAATAAAACAATACAAACATTACTACAGTA